TTGGCCAACGACCGGCCCATACAGCAGGGACAGCGGCCCATTGGTTCATTTTCCATATTGACACTGGGCTGGCCTAATCATCTCTTAACAGGCTCCACCCCTCCCCCTCTGTTTCTTGTGACAGACGCAGCCTGACTATATAGTATATGCATATCTACAGGGACCGCAAGGATGGTGTACTTGTTGGTTGTGTCCGACCGATTGTGGTGGGCCGGTCTGAGCAAAAATGCCAGGGCCCTTTTTTTGTCCCAGTCCAGCCCTGCTCTGCTGTTAATGTTTGCTGCAACAGATGGCATGCATGCTTTATTAGCAGGGTCAGGCCATTTATCTAACACTACTAGAGCATTGCAGGGGATAAAAGCAGGGGTGCGACAGTAAACAAAATTCACAGTTCGGTACAAACCACAGATTTAGGTTCACGGTTCGATACAATTTTGGTACAGCAGGGACAACAGAATTTGTTTTGAAATTATTTATTTATTATTAAACAGGAACAATTGTAAATCAAAGGCAGTGTGTCTGTCATGTCTGAATAACAAACTAAATCCAAGGTTGGGTAAGTTACTTTAAAAAATGTAATACTGTACAGTTACTAGTTAATGTAATCAGTAATGTATGGGTCTAAGTAATCTAAATATCACAAAAAAAAGTAATGTAATTACTTGTAGTTATTTTTGGATTATATTAATGCCAACTAAAGACAAGAGTAAAGAGTAAAGATCACTTTCTTATTAGGCAACAGAACATGTTCAAATAAAAATATACCGTATTTTTCGGACCATAAGACGCACCGGACCATAAGACGCACCTTGTTGTAGGGGAGGGAAATGAAGAAAAAAAAGATTCTGAACCAAATAGTGTCCTACAATATTTTACGTCAACCATGTACAGTGAACAGTAGTCAACAGCAGCATTAAGAACCATTATCACTGTTATTAACAAATAAAGTCAGTAAAAAACAATAAAAGTACAAAGAAACAAGGAGACACTTCAGTAACAAAAAACTTTCATGTGTATGAATGATCCATTGACACCTGGCCACATCCCTCGCCCCTTTTATGGCACTGATGGGGATGTATTTGGATCGTGTTTCACCGTTG